AACCTGGATAGTATCCATTCAACACAGGGGCGGATCTACACTATGGCTTGGGGAAAGTTACGTGTAAGTTACGTGTAAGTTGTTCGTGATTTTTGAAAATTACGTATAAACAGAAAGTAAAACATAAAAGAGTAGTCGCTAATCATAACACATTTACTAGTGCAGCCTAACGGAAGGACATGTTTATTAAATAAGGGGAATGCTGGTTCGATGCTCATGACAGACATATTTGACCTTTTTTGTTTTCTACTTATACTTGGCACGAAAATTCAATATTTATCTAGTTTTCATTTCTTTTACTTAAAATCAATCCACGTTTTAAGTACTCTTTTGAATATATATAATGAGTTTTTTTCTCTTTTTATTTTTAGTTCTAGAAAATTGTGTAAACTTTGCATTACATGTTTTAAGGACTATTTTGAATATACAATGAGTAAATTTTTTCTTGTAATAGATTGTACACATTGATTTTTCAGCTATAAAAATCATGAAACATGTTAGGTATTGGAATGTTATTAGTTTTGTTGGTAATTAACTCATTTATAGTCAAAATGACATGATAATTTATTCGTCTTAAATCGTGTTTGAAGTAAATCTAATTGTCTTAAAAAAGTGTCTTGGGCAATTTTGATGATTAAAAGTACTCTTTTTAAAGTTGGAATTATATTTTTGTACTTTTTGCCTCTTACGGTAATACGAATAAAAATTTTCGCCCCCCCCCCCCCCCCCCCCCCCCCCCCCCGAAGCTCGAATCCTGGCTCCGTCCCTGATTCAACATAGAAGCACAACTGGGGGAGGTTGACTTAGTGCTTGCCAACACTAGGAAATGAAAAGCGACATTGGCGAACATTAAACTGACTTTGGAAGAGAAGAGAGACAATAAGAAGTGGAGAGATCTTTTTGCGTTGTATACAATAGTGGCAGTTCTTTGTCCGAGTGGAAATTTGAAGGTTAACCTCTCGTATGCTGGATATTTGCAAGATGATATGGTAGCTGACTTCAAACATTACAATTGGTACAAGCATATGGCTGACCATTTCAACAAAAATATGGTAGAAGTGGTTGAAATCTTCTTAAAGTTCTCTGGTGATGTTCATCTTCTGTTTGTAAGTAGCTAAATATGTACCTCTTTTTAACTTTCATTTTTTTATTTCATTTATGTTTTGTGTATTGCGGAATATGGTGTACTTGAAGATGTTTATGGTTGCTTTTAAAATATTTATGGTTTGATTTGGTTTCCCTATGTTATGGAGTGCTTTATAGTTTTTTTGGTCTTCATTATAATGTTTTTTATATACTTTATCATTTGTGTAGTGTGTATTATAAGCTTTCTGGTACAATTTGTTTCATTTATGTTTTGTGTATTGAGGAGTATGGTGTGCTTAAAGATGTTTATGGTTTGTTTTAAAATATTTATTATTTTGGTTTTGTTTCCCTCTGTTATGGGGTGCTTTATAGTTTTCATGTTCTTCACTATAATGTTTAGGGTATACTTTATCATTTGTGTGGTGTGTATTATAAGCTTTATGGTACAGTTTGTGGTTGTTTGACTTTTATCTGTTTGTGTATGTGCAGATTTCTATTCTTGAATGTGTGAAGTGCCCCCCCCCCCCCCCCCCCCCGAGAGCTGTCCATACCGACCTATAGGCACAAGTTGTACAAAGTTGCAAGTGCTAATTTTAAACTATGCTGGACGAAGGGCATCTCTCTATTGGTTGTAGAGATGTAGTGAAGGAAGAACAAATAACCTCCAATCAACCAATGGGACGTGGACATGTGAAGTGTACGAAGAGGAAGATGATGGTGGATGATCTTGATATGGAGAGGGAAGGGGATCTTCCGAAGATGCCCCATCTTGAGATCAACTTGGATGATGTTCATTCGGTTGAAGATTTGAGTGATTCTGTTGTGTTATCCATTATATGGCTTGTTTTAGCGTACTCATGCCAACAAATAAAAGAGTTGGAACACCCCATAATGCACACAAAAATACAGTCACCAAAAACATATTTCCAAACCCACCAAAGGATTATGTGAAAATCATAAAAAGCAAACAAACGTACACGTTGTTTGGGACTATGTTTTCCATTAGATAATCCATGTCCATTCCGTTTAACCTTTTCCGTTCGAGCAACTTGTTGAATTATGTGAAGAACTCAACTAGATTGTCATCTGGTTGAAGGTAGTTTCGGAGGTTGCTGTTACAAGACTCACTTAGTTAAGAGCTTTGCATACCAACTGTGAAGTGGTCCTTAACCCATGTCGAAGAACACTGCTTCATGACCTTGTAAATCGAATCCAACCAGTTTCTTGGATTGGTGTCTTCTTCTGAATAATATGTGTGTAGGTAGCATCCTTGACCAATTGTATTCAAATTCTTCTTCCTTCTCTACTGAAAAAGTGACATACTGTAGATCTTTTAGAATGTCTTTGTTTTTGGTGTCGAGATGCTTCATTGCATTCTGCTTGATATGAAAAGTACACAAGCCATGAAATGCTTCAGGAATGATGGATCTAATCCCAACGGCAATTGCAGCAGCTTGGTCGATGTATTGATGTTGGTCGGGTGTCTGACATACATTTCAAGAATGCATCGAACAATTGTAGCAGTTGTTTCATCATAAAGGAGAGCAACCCCGAAGATGCATAGTGCATGATGGTGGTTGAAGGCAACAAACAAAGCTTTAATTTAAAAAAAAAACACAGCATAGAATTACGTATTGAAACAAACACAGACTGTCTTTTATAATATACATGGTGTGCTTTGGGACATGTTTAGTGTGGTTTCTTATAAGCTTGCAATATCTTCGTTACTATCGACCTCAATCTCATAGAAGAATGAGGGATTCTTATAAGCTTCCCGACTAAAATGTTTAAGAAGTATAGTTGTTTCCCCTTGTTTCATTGATTTCTCCCTCCTCCTTGTGATATAGTTCTTCAGATCATGAGGGGTAAAAGGGACATTCAACCTCCCCCATGGAGTTGTTGTGAACAACTCGAATGATTGTCGTAATGAAACTTCACAATCTTCATGCACTTGCGTGACCATTGCTTGCATTTCTGAGATCCTCTTGTCTCAACAAATGCTTGAATTTCAGAGGGAGGAGATCATGGTTGTGTTGTGTTGTCCACTTGTCCAGCAACCATTCAACATTCTTGATATCATATTTAAATTTGATATAGTTGGGCAGCCAACTCTAGTTTCCGGTACAACACGTTGATAAGCCTTAACATCAATTGATCCTTTATTCTAGGGATTTGAGTTGCTTGTCGTCTTGTATCCTTGTTTGTTGCAGCAATACCTAGCATATCGTGCTGTTTTGGTTGACTGGCTCTTTGTAGAACGTTTGACAGTTCCCATATCCCTCACGCTGAAGCCAAGATCATGAGCATAGTTATTGTAAAACTGTTTTGTTTCCTCAATGGTTTTGAACACCAACCCAAAAATAGTGTAGTCCGACGCGGATATGTATGATGTCATACCTGTAAGCAATGATGAAAGAAATGAGCACTTGATCAGTTCATTTTGTGATGATTGATGACTCTATATTTGCACATGTTTTCCCCTTCATTTCTTGATTGGTTAACTTGGAAATTGATCGTTCCTTGGCCTATTTTACACTAGGTTGTGTTCCTTTGTCACATTTCAGGTCTTAGCACATAAAGTGAAGTATAGGCGCAAGTTTCAAGTCAATCGTAGATCAATTGGCAACTCGGGGGGAGAAACTCGGGCATGACTTGAGGAAGAATGGATTTCTACCTCATTTTATCGACAAATAATCATGTAAGCTTGTCATGAAAAGAAAGAGGATGAGACTACGAGCATCTGGGATCAAACGACACCTGAATTGGAGGTCAAACTAGCTTAACAAAGCTTAGGAGTGCAAGCTGGAAATTGTGCACGACCGTGTAATATTGTGCACGGTCGTGCGAGTTTTCCAGGGAGTTGCACGGGCGTGCAAGTCGGGGGTGCAAATTTTAGCGGGTAGGCTGTTTTGCGATTTTTGGAGAGAGAGAGAGAGTTGGGTTTTGGTTCCCAAAACCCCAAGGGACAAACCAAAGAGTGAGAGGAAAGTGAAACATGTTAGCGATCATGTTAGCGATCATCAACCATTAATTTGGCTAGTGGCTAGGGGAAATCATACCTAAGTGAGTTCACACACTGTAATTAGATTAACTTTAATTGTACCTTGCTAGAGTAGTTACACCTCTGTTATCTTAATCTGGTTTGCTAGATAATGAACTAAATCTGAGTAATAGTAACTCTAGAGACCCGTGGATTCGATATTTATTACTTGAGCCACTATACTGAATCTCCATTCTACGATTACACTTGGTCGTAGTTTGGTGTTGTGTCATAGCGAGTCAAGTTTTTGATGTTGTTGCCGAGGACTCTCTAGATTATTAGGAAAGGTAGAAGTTTGTTAATTTAGTTTTTCTTTCTTTTATTTTTCTTTTCCACCATTGCTTTTCACTTGAGTGTTTTCGTTTTTGTTGGTGCATATCTGAATCATGGATCCTAATGGCTTCTCCAACCATTGGGGGTATCCATCACCACCCGCGTGGTATTACCCCAAGACTTCCTGGAGCAATCAAGGAGAAGAAGACTATGGATTCGGATTGCAGTACCAACCCCCTACTACGAAGAACAACCAGACCCTTGGACATTTCAAGAACAATTTCCTTATTAAGAGGAAATTCTTCCACAACCAGAGAGGACATCGGAGCTAGAGTTAGCCATGTCGGCCTTCGCGGGCCATTCTATAGAGCAATGCTACACTCCACAGCCAGATCCGAACAGAGACTTGAGACTTCTCGTGTAGAAGTTTGCTCGAGACACCGAGAGATCCCTCTGCAAGATGGACCTCCTAATCCAATCCATTGCTCCTGACCCTTCTTTTCTCTGTGAATCGGAGGAGGCTGTTCAGCGCTCAGTGAAGCAAACAAAGTGGGTTGAGCAAGTTTGTACACAGCTTGCTCAAGACCACCTTTCTACTTCCCTACAAGAAGATGAGGAGGATGAACAACGCTAAGAAGACATTGTGGAGCAGACGGAAGCTGTCACGGAGAGCTCCTGTGATGATAATGATCAAGAATGTCCTACTATAGCCGACCACGCCTTTCCCCGTTACATCGCGAGTTGTGAAGAGACGGGCATGAGCGTGGAGATTCAAGATGATCTCATTGAAGAAATTTCTTGGTGACTTGCTGCTCCAATCCATGCTGGAAGAAGAAGAGGGAGAAAGGGTGAGGAAAGAAGTTGTGGAGGTTGAGGAAGAAAGCAAAGAAGAGGGAGTTCTTGATCTTTTCCAAGGGGAGGAATCAAATTCTGGAAGGAAGGGGGGTTGAAGAATCAATTGGCATCCAAGCTGAGAACGAAGTTAAGGTGGAAGAGGCTTGCAGCGGCCCTATGCTATAAGTAATATCTCAACCAAACTTCGAGGAGCTGCTTGGCAGGGACCCATTTGCAGTATTTTTTTGCTAGACCAAGGCCACATTGACATCAGTCCCTATTGGTGGACGTGATGGTGGTCAATTGATGTTGTCATATATGGTTTGGGGCAATGAGACAAGAGAAGAATAGAAGAAGAGGTCTCGTGGGTGGAGACTTCATCTTCATCTAGTGCACGAGCCTACATCACTTGATACACCACATGCTCGTGACTTGAGACTCCACCTCATTGATGAAAATCTCAACTTCAAGGAGGTATTGGGGTGGATCGAAACTTAAGAGCCACCATCCGGCTCACGGTGTGAAAGAAGCGCTTGTTGGGAGGCAACCCAACCAGCGGGTTTGCACTTTCTTTCCCTTTGCTCTTCGGTTGAGTTAGGTTGTCTTTTGATTTTAGTGTCAATAACTCAACCTTTGTGAGATTTTGTGTGGTGTTTGTGTTCTGACTGCTCTCTCTACTTTCTCCCATGGAATGCACCGCCTGCCACGTCCACCATCATTCACACTTGATGTGGTAACTTCATTCTACCCTCCTAATCTTTCCTCCATTGATAACAATGTCATTCTTAAGTGTGGGGGTGTTCCATTATGTTTGCGTTTGAATTTTTGGTTGTTTGTGTGTGCTTAGAGCCTAGTCCATAGTCCAAATTTAGATTTGAGGGCTCCAAGTACATGTTCCTTGCAATCGCCTGCTTAGTATGTTTTGAATTGACAGTCTTTATAGTAATATGCAACATAGGAGGTAGTCTAGCACTATGGAGGATGTTGATGCATTGAAAAGTCTCATTTCTTCTTCATATTGTGTTGGTTGATTGGATGATTGTATGAGTACTCCTACTTTATAATCTTGAGTTCATATTCGATCTATGCATGTTTTGCATGATTCAATTATGCTTAGTAGAGAATATTGATTCTGCTTTGATCCTATGAGAGCTAATACCTGATTAGGTTAATAGAGCACCATAGATTGATACTACTGGATCGATTGCTTTAGTCGAGGGTCGATTCACTGCTTTGTATTGATTGACAACCTCATTCAATAGAGGGAATCTAGTTTAGAACACCTTGATTAGTTGTTCTAGAGAAGGATACTTCCCTCTAGGCAATCGATTCAAGAGGGCCTTGAATTCTTTAGTCGAGATTCAAGGTCTAGTCAAGGATTCTCCGCATTGTGAATGAAAGTGAAACATCTTAGAGATCATCAACCATTAATCTGGCTAGTGGCTACGGGGAATTATACCTAAGTGAGTTCCCACCTTGTAATTAGATAAACTTTAATTGTAGTTTGCTAGAGTAGTTACACCTTTGTTGATCTGAAACTGAGTAATAGTAACTCTAGAGACCCATGGATTCAACATTTATTACTTGAGCCACTATACTGCATTTCCATTCTACGATTACACTTGGCCGTAGTTTGGGGTTGTGTCGTAGCGAGTCAATGATATTTACTAGAAAAGTGAAAAGTGGTTTGCATTGTAGTTATTCATAACGCTTTATGACATTTATGGTTTGCATTACAGTGTCTATGATTTTTATTACGAACAGATTGCGGCTTGTAACGATTTAGGTTTTTATGGTGCATTGGAAGTGTTTTGGTGTCTTAAGAAGTTTTGTGGTTTGTTTTCAAGTGTTTTGGTTTTGGGAAGAATGTGGTGTGTTTTCCGATGATTTTGTAATCGTTTTTGGGATTTGTGGTTTGTTTTGATGGGCGGTTTGATTTGTACTGCTTTCTGCTTATGATATGGTAAATGGCATGTATAAGCTTGGTTGTGGTGCTCATTGTAAAAAAAAGGAAGGATTGATTTGAGTGTACCTTCTTCTTGTTCGTTGTTGGCACTGTTGGTGGAAATAGAGGTTTCCAGGTGTTGTCCGCCTTCTGTTGCATTGTTAGAAGATGATGCGAGCTGGAGTAGATTGTTGCGTCGTCGTCGTGTTATAAGCTGGTGCGGCCTGATTTTTCCGCTGTTGCGTTAGCTTTATCAGGAGGTCGTTCCGCCATCGACACTGTTGCGTTAGCTGCGATCATGAGCTCATTCGCCGTCGGCGCTGTTGCGTTAGCTGCACTCAGGAGCTTGTTCCGTTGTTGTTGCTATTGTGTTAACTAAGATTAGGAGCTCAGCCCGTCGTCGCCGTTGTTGTGTTAGCTGCGATTGGTGGTTTCGTTCGGCGTCGGCATCGGGCGATTGCGGAGAGAATAAAGCGGGGAGAGAGAAAAGAGGTGGTCCCAAAATGCAGAGGGAGAAACGAGTTCGTATTTCTCGTTAGGACAGACGAGCTCCTATTTTTGGTAGGACATAAGTACCCCTCCTTTGTTTTTTAGGCTAGTCAACACAAGGAATGGAAAAGTATGCACATTGTTGGCTTCCTATTGGTCCTCCTATGTTGTTTTACATTAACAACGAATATGGTGTTGTCACCACATCCAGTCCCTCCTACCTGATCTATCCCGGTTAATGCGAGTAAAACCCGTGATGACGAGTTTGGGGCTGGGTTCGGGTTTAAATCCGTTACACTTTCACCAGGTTGGGTTGGATTTGGGTTTAGGAATACCCGACCCATGAATACCCGCCCACACTTATTCTGTCGCCTACTCTCTCCAAACTCTACCCTAATTCTAATTTCCCCCAATCTAATTAACAATTTATATGAATAATTTGTGATTTGTTTGAATTTTCTAGACTGATGTTTTATGTATAGATAATTTATGTGGAGAAATTGGTGTTTAACTTTTATTTTGATAGGAACTTGTTATTGTAAATTTTTTACCACAAAAAGTAGGGTTGGGTTTGAATTTTACAAACCCATTGAGTTTTATCCCAAAAAAAAATTTTACGGATAAACCCATAAATTTGTATTTGGGTTTGGGTTTGACAAAACCTGACCCAACTTCACCTATTGTCATCCCTAATTATAAGACACATCCTCCCAATTAGGGATGACAATGGGTCGGGTTGGGGCGGGTTTTGCCAAACCAAAACCCAAACCCATGGGTTTATCCGTAAAAAAAACCAGAGTAAAACCCGTTAGGTTTGAAAAACTGAAACCCAACCCACTGGGTACCCGCAGGTTCATGGGTACCCGTGGATTTTTGTAGTAAAACATTTACAATAAAAATTAACAAGAAACTATCAAAATAAAAATCAAGCATCAATCTCACCATACAAACTATTCATACATAAACACACCATTCTAAAAAATTCAAGCAAATCACGCATTATCCATACAAATTGTTCAACACCAATCTAGAAAATTCAAGAAAGTCACAAATTATCAATAAACAACATGATTAATTGAAGTTTCCTCCTCCTTATGAGATCTTGAGCATTGTCAAGTACCTACATAAACAAATGCCAAGTATAAATTCATCAAACAAATGAAACAATCCTACTCTCAAACCAACCGAACGAGCAAGTAGCAACCCAAACAGCCATATATAAATTCAAAAGTCAATCCTAAGTAGTAAGTCCCAACAATGAAAAATGCAAAATATCATAGCCAAAGTTCTGTTAACTTAATGCCAAGTTCAGGATATTCTCCAAAACCTTCAATTCATGATTCTTGTCTCAAAAATATTGTCCAAAACCACAAACAAATAGTTTCAATTCGTGATATTGTCCAAATCCTCGCCACCTAATTTACTATCAAGTAATTTACCATTCATGATTCTTGTCTCAAAGTAACAAATAGCAGTTTCAATTCAATATCACTTACATCCACTAGGCGGCGTCAAGGCGCGGAGCAGAGAAAGTAGAAGGAGGGCGATGGGACTGGAGTCGAACGTCGACCGTCGGCGGGAGGTGGAGCCGCAGTCGCGCGGAGCAGAGGAGGAGAAGGAGAAGGGCGGCAAGACTGGAGGACGGCGGGAGGTGGCGACGTGGAGGCGCGGAGCAGAGGAGCAGGGGGAGGGCGGCGACTGCGAGACTGGATTCGACCGTCAGCAGGAGGTAGAGACAGGTGTGGGCGGGCGGCAAGAATGGAGTCGGACGAAGGGCAACTGTCGGTGAGGCGGCGAGCCCGGAGTCTCGCCTCTTGCGATTTCGATTTCAGTAAGGGAGAGGGAGAGGGAACGTGCGACTGCGGCCTGCGGCAGGTCTGGTAGTTGGGAGGGGGGGGGGGTTGGGAAATAATAATGTTATGGTTAGGGAGGGTTGTCTGCTGCGCAGGTCGAGCTCACTTAGTGTTTGATTGTGGTCGGGTATCCACGGGGCGGGTACTCCCAAACCCGAACCCGCCCCAACTCGATCAACCAGCCACCAGATCTAAACCCGAACACAATCAATAGAGTTTTACCTGCTTTGACCGGATTGGGTCGAGCCGGGTACCCGCGGGTCCGGGTTTCATTGTCATCTCTACTCCCAAGCGTATATTGGGTGGGTTCGTCCATACTCCATTGTCCATACCTACCCACCGTGGCTTCCTTTGGATTAGGGGGTGGGCATCCGATTTGATAAACTCGAACCGAACTGGATCGAAACCGAAATGTACCGAACCGAAACTAAAATATCCTTGTTCGGTTCAGAAATCGGAAGGCAAAACCCACTATTTCGGAAATCAGGGTGTGCTCAACCGGACACGATTTTCGATTTCTCAACCGACCAACCGAATTTACACTCACAACCCAAGCCCACAATCCCCAAGCCCACTACATTTATTTTCCCATTTCTCTGAAACCCTAGGCCCTGGTTACTCACAACAATCGACGACTGAAGTCTTGGCGGCGGAACTTCAAGATCTGCTAGCTTCAAGGCCCTGGTTCCTTCTTCATTCTCTCACACACCCGACCCTCCTACCAAAAAATCTCTCAGCTCTGCTTCTTCCCTCACCCGAGCCCCCACCAACGGAGTTCAAGATCTGCCAGCTTCAACACCATCGCCCCCAAACCAAGATCTGCTCGATGCTATCGCTTCCTTCGAAGCTTCAACCAAATACAAACATGCAGCGCAAAATCAATGAGGAGTAGAGGCGAAGGAGAAAAACAAACCAAAAATTCATGCATACTTAGATATTAAACCTTACTAACCTCTAACCTTCGTCGCCAGAGTCGTCACAATCATCGATGTCAATTGCCGTCGCCATCGCCGCTGGGTCGTTCTCTCCGTCAATCGCAATCGCCGCCAGCCCCTGAGTTCTTTTCTCCATCAATCGCCAGAGACGGGAGTCGGGAGTAGGGATGACAACAAAACCAGAACCCACGGGTACCCGACCCAACCCGGTCAACGCGGGTAAAATCCGTGTTGACGGGTTTTGGGCCGGGTTTGGGTTTAAACCCGTTCACTATTTATCGGGTTGGGTTGGGTTTGAGTTTAGGTAAACCCGCCCATGGGTACCCGCCCACACCCATATAATTAATTTTCTCGGTATATTTAATATTCTAAACAACTAATCTTATTTATGTTTGTGGAGACATGTCTAATTTTTTCTTTCTAATTGTGTAGAACGAAGTTGATGTTATCGAGTGGAGAATGAAGAAACTTAATTGAAAGGAAGAAGCTTTGAATTAATCATGGTATTTATGGATAATTTGTGATTTGCTTCAAGTTTCTTGAGTTTTCTAGATTGGTGTTGAACAATTTGTATAGTTAATTTGTGATTTGCTTGAATTTTCTAGAATGGTGTATATATGGATAATTTGTATTGGGAGATTGATATTTGACTTTAATTTTGATAGGAACTTGTTATTGTAAATTTTTTACGACAAAAACCAGTGGATACCCATGAACCCGCGGATACCCAGCGGGTTGGGTTGGGTTGGGTATGAGTTTTTCAAACCCAGTGGGTTTTACCCCGGTTTTTTCACGGATAAATCCATGAATTTGGGTTTCGGTTTGGCAAAACCCGACCCATTGCCATCCCTAATCGGGAGGAGAAATCACCGCTGCCCGCTGCTTTGTGCTCTGAGAAGTGAGAGAGAAGAAGAAGAGAGAGAGAGAAGAAGAAAGGGAGAGAATTGGTTTTGCGTATTGCGTAGAAATGGTAGGTGGGGTGATAGGGTAGGTGGGGGAGGGAGAGTGAATTTTATTTTTTACAAGCAGAATAACTTCTTAGCAAACTTCGGGTAGAGGCTTAAAATCGAACCGAATCATGATTTATTTCGATTCGGATGAACCGAACCAAAATAAATTTCGGTTCAAACTCGGTTTGCTTCATGAGATACTTCGGGGACACGGGGAACTAATATTCATCTGTTCGATTCAAACCGAACCAACTAAACGCCCACCTCTACTTTGAATACTCGACTGCTAATAAACCACCACCTCACTTCCCGCTCTTCTGAACATAATCCCTGTTGCGAGCTGAAGGAAAATGGCTCATTGTCATTTGTTCTTCTGCGTATTGAAAGAGAGCGAACCTCCTCGATCCATCTCGTTGAATCCATCCACTGGTTCGGAATCTCGTCGGAGATCCCACTTGTTAATAATCATTGACAAAGCAAGAATGAAGCTGGGAATTACAAGCGATATCCGGCGCAGATATCTCATCAAAGCTGCCGCTTGGCAAGGATTGTTGGTTAGTACACTTAGCTCCTCAAAAGCGAGGATAAACGCTAAACCTGTAGAAATCGATAGTGCGGAATAAAAGAACACGAGACGCAAGATTTACGTGGTATCCTCGTTCTTGATTGAACGAGACTAATCCACGGTGAGCTCGGAACGAGCTCACGAGTTGAGTTTTATTTTCTAATAGCAAACTGATAAAATGACCTTCAACATAGACTCGGCCATAAATAAGAGGAAAAGAGAGACCTCTGCGCAGACCTAACTTGGGACACAAGTTACAGAGACCGAATAGGAAAAGGAAAGAACACAAAACCAAAACTATACACAAGACACGTAATATAGTACGTAATACGCCCCCTCAAGCGCAAGCATGAAGATCAAACATGCCAAGCTTGGACATAAGATGATGGTGGTGTTCAATCGCCAATCCTTTTGTGAAAATGTCTGCTGGTTGCTCTGCAGTGGCAATCTTGCGGGGGGAAATGTCCAATGACTGAACACGCTCCCGAACAAAAAAACAATCCATCTCCACATGCTTAGTACGCTCATGAAAAACAGGATTTTCGGCAATATGGAGAGCGGCCTGATTGTCACAATACAAAGGAGTAGGACCGGACTGTGGTGCTCCGAGATCAGAGAGGAGCCAGCGTAGCCATAGAACCTCGCAAACAGTACTAGCCATAGCACGGTATTCAGCCTCAGCAGAAGAGCGAGCGACTACAGACTGCTTCTTAGTGCGCCAAGAAACAGGAGACAAACCGAGGCGGATGAAATAGCCAGTGGTAGAGCGACGAGTCGTCTGACATCCACCCCAGTCGGCGTCACAGTAAGCAGTCAAACAGAGAGAACCATGGGCTGGGAGTAGAAGCCCACGGCCAGGAGATGCCTTCAAGTAGCGCAATACCCTGTGAGCGGCATCAAGATGAGCCTGAGTCGGAGCATGCACGGCCTGACTGAGGATGTTAAATGCATAGGTAATATCTGGGCGAGTAACTGTGAGATAAAGGAGCCGTCCAACCAGACGTCGGAAGGCTGCAGGATCAGGAGCTGGTGGAGAAGGGGCACGACCTAACTGATGATTCTGTTCGATGGGAGTAGAGGACGGACGAGTGGCCTGAAACCCAGTGTCAGCAAGGATATCAAGTACATACTTCCGCTGATTCAGAACAATACCCTGACGAGAACGGGCAACCTCGATCCCAAGAAAGTATTTTAACAGACCCAGATCCTTGATAGTAAACCGGTCATGCATGAAGGTCTTGACGGACTGAATGAAAACCAGATCATCACCTGCGAGAATAACGTCATCGACGTAGATAAGAGCAACGACAAAAGAACGAGCCGTGCGATATATAAAGAGTGAGTGATCAGCATGGCTCTGACGAAATCGAAGCTCAAGAAGTGCAGCCGAGAACTTGTGATACCAATTCCGGGAGGCTTGCTTGAGACCATAGATTGATTTGCGAAGCCGGCAAACACGGTTATCACCAGGTTGAGCAAACCCTTGTGGAACTTTCATGTATACCTCCTCGTCTAAATCGTCATGAAGGAAGGCGTTGTTAACGTCAAGCTGATGGATGTGCCAACCTTTTGTAACGGCGACAGCGAGAAGACAACGGACAGTAACAAGTTTAGCAACAGGAGCGAAGGTATCATGATAGTCAATGCCCTCAACCTGAGTATAACCCTTAGCAACAACGCGCGCTTTGAAACGCTCGATAGACCCATTAGGGAGATACTTGATCTTGTACACCCATTTGCAATCAATGGCCTTCTTACCAGGAGGAAGCAAGGTTAACTCCCAAGTTTCATTGGCGACCAAGGCCGAAAACTCAGTGTTCATGGCATTACGCCATTGAGGATGGCGGACAGCCTGATAAAAGTACTTTGGTTCCGTAAGCTGAGAAACCCGAGAAATGAATGCCTGATGCGAGGATGACAGCCGATGGTAAGAGACATAGTGAGCCATCGGGTAACGGACATGATGAGTCTGAGGGGCACCAGGGAGGTCAACAGCGTAGTCACCAAGATGAGTAGGAGGCCGGCGCACCCTATCTCCACGTCGAGGGAGGGGATCTGAGGCAGCAGGCGCTGGAGAGCCGGGAGGACAAGAGGGCGAAGATGATGCTTCAGCCGAGGGGGCCTCCTGGGGAGTTGACAACGTCTCAGGGGTTGGAGCGGAGTCATCCAGAGACGTGGAGTGGTGAGTTATGGTGGTGAGGGGAGTGACATCCTCAACCAATGTAGGGGAATCGACAGGAGAAGGTGGCGGAGTGCCGGGGCAGGCAGCGGCAGGCGGTGAGGAAGACTCGGGATCCTGAGATGAAGGGATCACAGTGGGCTGAGCAAAATCCATGATGCGCATGGGCTGAAAAGGCACATGGACGGAAGGATCATGCCGGGGAGACAAGTCCGCAAGAACGCGCGGGTCCCTGTAGGGGAAGAGATGCTCAACAAAGACGACATCACGGGAGGTATAGATCGTCTGTGTCTCGAGATCAAATACGCGGTAGCCCTTTTGAGTGGCAGGGTAACCAACAAAAATCCCAGGACGCCCGCGTGCGTCAAATTTAGAGAGATTCCTGTGTGTGTTTTTGGCATAGGCAAGACAGCCTAGACTGCGGAGATGATCATACTTGGGTACCCCGCCAAGAAGGAGTTGATATGGGGTTTGACGCTGGAGAGGAACGAGGGGCATGCGGTTGATCAGATAAGCCGCAGTGAGGATACATTCTCCCCAGAAAGAGAGAGGAAGCCCAGCATGAAAGCGCAGAGCCCGAGCAGTATCAAGTAGATGACGGTGTTTACGCTCAACGACACCATTTTGTTGGGGGGTATCTGTGCAGGAAGTTTGAAGAACGATGCCTTCGTGCTCATAAAAGGTGCGGAGTGCAGGAGTAGAGAACTCTCGGCCATTGTCGGCCTGAATTCGACGAACAGTGTGCCCATACTGACGGCTCACTTGGCGGCAAAAAACAAGAAGGTAACGTGCCACCTCAGATTTGCTCTTCATCAAGAACACCCACACAGCTCGACTAAAATCATCAACAATAGTTAAAAAATATCGTGCACCAGAGAGAGAAGGCTCATGAAAACCACCCCAAATGTCGATGTGAATAAGATCAAAACAAGACTTTGTCTTAATACCGCTGTGCGGAAAAGGAAGTCTAGTCTGCTTCGCCCGTAAACAAGAATCACACGGGTCTTTACTGGAAAGTAAAGGACAAGAAATGAAAGGTTGCAAGGCCAACAACTTCGCTCCAGAAGGATGTCCGAGGCGAGAGTGCCAAAGCTCGGACTGCCCCAATGCCTGCCGCGCCGAATAAGCTACCGGATGACTCTGCTGAAAAACCCGCAACTGATATAGACCATCACTCTAAATCCCCATGCCAATCATCTTCTTTGTAGCCAAGTCCTGAATAACACAGAAATCGCTTAAGAATATAACTGCCACTGGGTGATCTGCAGTGAGACGACTGACGGATAACAAGTTGCATTGAAAATCTGGGATATGTAAGACCCGATCCAGAACCAAGCCATTTTCCAATTGAGTCATGCCTATATTGCGAACAGGGACCCCATTACCATTGGGAATCCGAACCTGCAAGTCGGTGTTGGTCGCAAACTCGCCAACAAACAAAGAATTATCGGTAATGATATGTTCATTACATCCGGAATCGATAATCCAGGAGGAAGAAGAGTGAGGAACCGTACCTGACATGTTGACCGCCATGCCAGCCGATGGAGTGACCTTAGAATCCATGCCCAGGAAAGCACGGAGTTGAGCAAGTTGAGCCGCACTCAAGCCGGGAACAGCACTGCTATCATCGCTCTCCACAGCAGCCGCTTTGGCTTCAGATCGTGATTGTTTCCCGTGGCGGCGGCGTGACTTGTCACCGGACTTGGTGCCTTGTGAATTCCCAGAACGTTGCGGATAGCCAATGAGTTCGTAACAAGTGGCCTTGAAGTGGCCAGGCTTCTCGCAATGGGTGCACCAAGGCCGCCCTTCAGGAGTGCGAGGCTCGGAGGGGAGGTTGTCACTTTTCCCTTGGAAAGCAGCAGCATCCATAGAAGGACGAGTGTCCTGAGAGAGGTTCCGCTGCTGTTCGTCGTTGGCGGCCATTTGATAGGCAGCGCCGAGTGAAGGAGTCGGCTTCATTGAGAGAAGCTGCGTGCGAACGACGGAAAAACTCTCATCAAGTCCGATCAGGAAATCAAGAAGTCGCATGTCCTCGTGAGAAGAGCGAGTGCGTTGTTCGACGTTGCATTCACACTTGCCACAAGTGCAGCGAGCAGGAGGGTCCAACGTGAGCCAATCATCCCAAAGGCGCTTCAGTTTGGAATAGAAAGTAGCAACGCTCAACCTGTCCTGTCGAAGGTTTGTGATATCCCGACGCAACTTGTAACGGCGCGGAAGATTACCTGTGGAAAAACGCTCCTTGAGCTCATCCCAAATCTGTTGCGCGGTGAGACTGGCGGAAAGGCTGCTGCGGATGTCGCGACTCATGCCGGTGCGAAGCCAACCGACGACCGCTGCGTTGCAGCGCACCCAAGCTTCAAGCTCGGGACCAGAGGCGGGACGCGGAACGGTACCTGTAACAAGCCCTAGCTTGTTTTTAGCCAACAGAGAGTTGGTCATCTCGGCTGCCCATTCACTGTAATTGAGATCAGTGAGAACCTCGCTGACGAACATGAGGTTGGGATGATCCGAGGGATGCAGATGAAGAGGAGACGCTCCATCGAAGGCTGGTGCTGAGCTTGAAATCAAGGCGTTGTCACCTGTACTCATGACGACGAGGAGCACGCGACCTAGGGGAGGAGATCTCTGAGAAACCCTAGATGCGCGGCAGTGGAAGAAGACCGAAGAACCTAACCCTTGATCTTGGTTAGCTCTGATACCATGTAGAAATCGATAGTGCGGAATAAAAGAACACGAGACGCAAGATTTACGTGGTATCCTCGTTCTTGATTGAACGAGACTAATCCACGGTGAGCTCGGAACGAGCTCACGAGTTGAGTTTTATTTTCTGATAGCAAACTGATACAATGACCTTCAACATAGACTCGGCCATAAATAAGAGGAAAAGAGAGACCTCTACGCAGACCTAACTTGGGACACAAGTTACAGAGACCGAATAGGAAAAGGAAAGAACACCAAACCAAAACTATACACAAGACACGTAATATAGTACGTAATAAAACCCCAATAAACATGGCGGAATTGAGCAAATCCAAATTTCTCGACTTTACCCGGTACCCGATCGCGATAATTTGTGTTTCGAACGATGAATGTGGATCGAATTTAGGCGGCAGATGGAGACGTGAGCGATCGATGTACGGTAAGAGATCCTTTCCTTTGTTCTTACTTGTTCAGTCAATTCGCTTTCGCAGTATATTTGGAATCTTCTTGCACCCCAGTTTATTGCATGACTCGGGGACTGTTTTGTTTCTTCTTATACTCACTTTAAGATGGGCACACTTATAATCGTCGCTTTGATCTTTCTCCTGCTCTTTCCCTGTTTGAGTGGAAAAGTGGATGAAACAGTTTCGTGAAAGTTTTTGCGTTTCTGGGTAGGAATGCTATAAACAGTTTTGATGAAAAGGGCATAATCTGTATAGGTAGAAACTTCTGGTCTGGTAATTTCATTCGAGTTTGTTGGCAGTTTTTGGAGCTGTGTTCTGTTAAGAACTCAAGTTCTAGTTGGCCATTTACTAGGGGAATGATCACTGATGCTCTCTAGTCGCCCTTCTGCTATCCATCTCTAAGTTACCGAAATATATATGTTTTCTGATCCTGGACAGACTCGATATTGCTAGAAGGTTAGTGTATGTTGCTAGGGGTTATGCCCTATAGATTATCCCTAGTCCTCTTTGCTGCCCTTCTGCTCCAGTGCAACTGATCCAATTGCCAAAATATGTGGTTGGCGCGCCATAAAAGAGTTTAGCTTCTTAAACTGATGTAGTGGGTGATACTTGTATGAGAGTTATTTCTGCTCTATTCCGAACATACTGAAATGTGCTTTTTACAAATAACAATCCAAAATGTTACAGGCTTTGGAAATCAAGAAATCTGCTACATATGGACGTCTCATATGCTTGCCGTGGTGATACTAGTTTGTAAAGCATGAAACTACATTGAGATTACATGTTAGAGTCCGTTACAAGTTCTGGTTCAACTCCAAGATGGAAACTGAGATTGAAGCTCATGACAATTCAAAAACACTTTGTTAGCACAAACAAAACTAAGCATGAAACTCCGTAAAGCTGTGTTGTGGCTCCTCCAAGTATATCGCCCATACGAGATCATAGTAGAGGGAGAATGTTGAAAGAAGGAAAATGGTCACTGGCAAGCAAGATGCAGCATACGCTGGATATGAAAACATTCTCAGGCTTTCGTTTAGAACAAAGAAATGTGCTGCACAGAAGGAAACCAGCATGGAAGCTATGGAAAGGAAGAGAGACGTTAGCCCCCAAATAAGCTTCCGAGGCAGTGTCTTGGCAAAGTCTTTGTGATCAAATCGAGAAGTGAGGATAGTAAGAAAAGTTACTAGGGATGTTACGGATAAGCAGAGTGCAAGCAAGGATGCGATGGCAAAGACATTGAATGCAGGCTCCCGTTCAAGAACAGGGATACCGGTGTCTTCTTTGTTGCCTCCAGGGACGGTCGATGATCCTGCAAATGCAACTGTTGCCACAAGTGCAGCAACAACTGAGCATGACTCGCTAGTTTTGGAGAGCCATTCGCTGCCAGTTTTTGCAAGTTGTTTGTGGGTCTTCAATAAGATCTGCTTTCTCTCTTGTTGTATTGAGGAAAGAAGTTGGGTGGCATTGACTGCATAACGAACTGCACAAAATACAGGTATTCATCAGAGACCCCATTTATAGTCAGGTTTATCTGGAGAAAAAAACTTAAAAGTTGTAAAACTTCAAACTTATTGGGCTAAATGGCCATGTAAAATGTTGATTATCTTTGGCTATGGTAGTTTCTTAACTGAACACATGAAATACTAGCTGCGAATCTGTTAGCTTATTACTTTATTAGTAAAGTTACTAGTGTTTCTGTTGGCTTATTAGTTTGTTTACCTAGCCTTTAGCCATTTAAATCCTAGTCTAAGCAGTAATGTTGTTATGCTTCTCCTTTCCTAGTTGTCGTAGACAAGGTAATTTCCTCTGTTAGTTCTAGTAGACAATAAATTTTTTATTGTCATAGGAATAACATTTGTTTTAGTTAGAGAGAGTAAAGACCAGGTTATAGGCTGGCAAAATATGAATAACTTGTCTTTGAATATGAATCAAGGAAAGAATTGGGGAACGCGTCGGGTCTTTTCTCAGCCGAAGAGGATAATTGTGGTTTCGTTCTAGAATAAAATCATGGTTCTGTAATAAGCTAAAATTTATCATGGAATCATTAAGTGATCCAAACTGAAATGTACTTGGACTTAGCCCTTTGTTGTGAGTACTTTTTTATGCAAAACCAAAAGCCTGGGTGGTCAATCTCCAGAATAACTCTTTGTAAAATTACCTTGTACCACTTGAGTTCCCACTGCATTTGCAGGCCAGCTCCTGGAACGAGCCAAGGTCTAGAATCTCCAAAAGTTGCAGCCAGGTGCAATGCGCTGTTCCCGTCTTTATCCACTCGTCCAAAAACACTCTCCTTTAGTATAACCTTCTCCTTAAGCATTTTAAAGACTTGGACATGTTTGTTCTCCACTGCCAAGAGTACAACATTCTTATTATCAGAGTCCAGGTCATGAATAGCTATAGGAAATGTTTCCATTATTTTCTGCACCACTTCTTTAACTCCCATCTTTGCCGCTATCAATATTGGGGTTTCCTTGCTCATTGAACCAAAATGAGTTCGATTTTCTTTCTCGTGCGACACAAGGACAAGATATTTATTCTCTGTGTCTAGTTCTCGAATTGTGGCTGGCCAGGCCTTCATAAAATGTTCCACTAAGTCAGTTATTCCCAGGTGTGCTGCAACTATAATGGATTTCTCCTTTTTGTCTGTTCAATATACAGAAGGATACATCAGAGTAGTTCTTCATTAATAAACAGGTTATAAGGGATAGCTATGCTTAATTGCTCATAAAAGTCTGTTTAATTTCGCATAATCACAGGTCATGTTGCTGAAATTTTATGAACTAAATGTTTGATCTTTACCGCCAGTTTCAGGCACATTAGTGTTGTTCACAGAGCTCTGAGATATCTGATCATCGGTCTGCAATTCAGCGATTTGCCCCAAATCTATGTCTCCATCGATAGGTTTCCGGCCACTGTCTTCATACCTATATGTGGAAGTTTTGTCAACCAATGCTTTCAATACAACATTCGCCCATGTGTGCGCCACTTTCATCCTTGTTATCTTAGCTACCCTGGAATATCCTGCATGTGATGAATGATGCCAAAGGCATTTGGCATGGATGTGTACAGGATAGAGTTGTTTCTCTGTGAAAGATAAAGAAGGGGGTACTCACCGAGTCCCAGAATGATTAGCAGTGCCTTCAATATGAGCTTGAAAATATCAATACTTGTTGCATAATTTGGTGGGAAAATTTCTTTGAGCTTCCCCGTTCTTATTGACTCCGCACCTGAAGAATATTTCCGAGGAAATCAAGTGAGAATTGAGTAACAAGTCCATCTGTGCTTAACCATGGATCTCATGAAATGATACGATTTTACCTGGAATACTTCCTTTGCTGAAGCTTTCAGGATCATCACTGCTTTCCTCACTCACGCAGTCTTGACTTTGACGAAAAGAACAAAAGACTGCGGCAACATATGACATAATGAAAAAGAATTTTCTAAATCTTTGATTAAATTTTGACACATTTTAGTCAGGGGATAAGGTCAAACTCACTTAATAGTTTCTTCATCAGATGGAAGAAGGTCATGCATGTTTCATAGCTTTCTGGATAATTATGACTCCTTTCCGATTTTTCGAGTCCCGATGAACTTCTTGTTTGGTCTAGGTCATCAACTATTGCACCTGAAAAGAGAGGTTTACTTCACCTTTAGTAAAGTTTTATTTGTCTTTCCTTATCTAAATATGCAGGTGGGCATTGAGATTGAAACTCTCACAGGAGTAGATGATACGATCAAACAGGCCAAAGTGAGAATTGCTTCTGAATGCATTGGGCTTTCCAGCTAGAATATGCAGAGGAGAAGCTCCATCCTCCCTTATTTTGTTCACAAGGTCTGGCCACTGCTCTATAATATGATATGCCAACTCTGCTTACGTGTATAGAACTGTTGTTGTTCAGTGCAAAATCAAAGTGTATTGAAATGTGGAAGTGTTTAATTCGATATACATTTATTACCAAAGTGTTCACCGGAGATGGCAGCATGAAGAATGGTGTCACCTCTACAAGACCTCCAGTGACAAATCTCGTCCGCTTCCTCCTTGTCAAGACTATCCAGGAGAATGAAGAAATTCTGTGTCTTCCCAGAAATGGCTGCCATGAAAAGAGGGGTCTCGCCGTCTCTGTTGCTGATCCCGATGAGCTCTGCAGAGGCCTTGGAAGCCAAGCACTTGCACATGTCAGCATCGCCAACTGCTGCTGCCAAGTGGATAGCCGTGGACCCCGCCGCGTTCTGCAATCCCAGAACTTCTGCAGCGTACTTGCTTTGTATCTGCTTCACGAGTTGCCTCATGACCTCAGTCTGGCCATTCAAAACGGCAATGTGCAGTGCTGTGTCTTCTGACGTGGTGATCTTGGACTTCTGGGTTTCAAGATTTGCATATGCAGTCACCACTCTTTCCCACCTTCCCTGCATGATGTCATCAAACAAGGTATTCTGCTGCCCCATGGTTTGTTGGAATGCTAATTGCTAAGGTTTTTTTTATTATGAGCTGAATCACTCGTGCAGCTGGGACTTGTATAATCTCAGCTGCTGCATGTGCTTGATCATGGAGAACGAAAGTGGTAGACTTTTGAGCTCGCCATTGTTTATTATTTATGTTAAATTTTGGTTCTTTACTTGCTTCTGTCTTCTTGGTATTTTTCTCTTTTCAGTTGTTCCCGTTTCATTAAAAGAATCCAAAGAAATTGAAAGCAACCATACGCTGTTTCAAGCTCTTCTAAAGCTGACGCCGGGTTGCTCTCCGTGGAAGGCATGCATTTTTTATGTACAGCAAGCTTATCCCTCCTACCCATCTTCTTCCGACTATGCTACTTCCAACAATTATAAGGTAACAATAATAATTTCAGGATCTTATAATTTCGGAGTTTAAAATTATATGATGAGAAGAAAAACGACACAAATTAATTAAATAACCAAAAGTATGCCCACTCAAACAAAAGATAATCAAAATCGCCCTAGAACAACAGTCATTTAGCTTCCTAGCTAGCTATTATTAAGTTGCTCCAAGCCCCACGAATTGATGAATGAATAAACCATCCCAGAGAGTGTTAAAAATAGAGATGTCTCCGTTACCTATCTTCATAGCTGTCTTCTCCTTCTTTGCATTATCAGCCTGTATGAGTAGTGCTACTACAGCGCCCCAAACGGCCGCCCCTTGCAGCACTCCCTTCCGCCTGTTCGTCCGCCAAAACTACAACATCACCAACTGCAGGAAACTCGCCACCCTAGGAGCGGAATTCGCCTGGGAGCTCATCCCGGGAAACCGCTCCCAGTTCCAGGTCATCTTCGGCGCAAGGCTCTCCGACGACGTGGCCTGGGTGGCTTGGGGAGTCAACCCAACTCGCCCTAAGATGGTCGGGACCCGAGCCATGATTGGCGTCCGAGATCTGGCCACCGGATTGTTCAGGGTGGCACCGTACAATGTGACTTGGCAGACAAGGAAGCGGTGTGGGCTGCATCCCAACTGGGGGATTGACGTGGAGTTTCGTAATGCGTCGATGGAGTACTTGAGCGGGATTGATTACTATGCAATGCGGGCCACGGTGGGGCTTCCCTCCGCTGCTGCCATGGCCGGATCGACATACAACGTGTCGCGGCTGAACCACGTGTGGCAGGTCGGGTACAGTGCGGAGGGAATGGAGCCCCGGATCCATCCTGTGTCGGACCTTCAGCACTTTGACAGCAAGGAGACCATCGATTTGAGGACCGGTGCCATCCGCCTGCAGGCCGGTCGTCACCGCCGCTATCTTAGAACGGTAGTGTCTATGGTTTGATTCCTTTATTAGCTTCCTTATGGTTCTTTTGGTCATGGTCATATTCTTTTGCCTTGGGCGAAAAGTAACAATTTATCCGGTTCTTTTTTTTTCTCCCTTTTTTACAGGTTCATGGAATTCTAAGCATGATAGGATGGGGGACAATTTTGCCAGTGGGAGCCATCATAGCTAGATACTCGAAATTCCCTGTTGAAGCCGGCTACCCTCGGTGGTTCTTGGCCCACAAGTCATGTCAACTTGTTGGCTACGGAATGGGCATCGCCGGCTGGATCCTCGGCATCTTGCTCGGCAATTCCTCAGTGTTGTACGCCATGAAAGTCCACCGTCTCTACGCCATCTTCATCTTGGCTTTCGCTACTCTTCAAGTAACTAATTTCAATCATGACAGTAACTCCAGCACTCCTTCCATTTTAGTCGTAGCTAACTAGATCCTATCTGTTTTTCTAACCATTGCAACTGACCTCTGGTCTAGGTGACGGCGTTGTTTTTCAAACCGGGTAAAGGGGACGAGTACCGGAAGTACTGGAACCTGTACCACCATTTTCTAGGCTACGGCCTGCTGTCTGTGATCGTCATCAACAACTTCAAAGGGATTGCGATCCTGAAACCCAACTACACGTGGAAATGGGCGTACATCGGCATTTTGGCATGCCTCGCCGGCGTCGCTCTGGCCATGGAGTTGTGGAGCTGGATTAAGTTCATGAAGATGAAGAAGGAGAGTAATGGTATCATACGGCCAAATTATCAAGTTCCTGCTAGCAGCAGCACATATGGGAAAGCGCCCAGTACTGCCGGCGGGGAACAACTCGAGCACAAATGAAAAACCCGAGTAGTCGTCGGATCGGACTTTCACCTAGTCGTAGGAGTAAGGACCAGCTGGATTTCGGTTGGACTGGTTAAGGTTCGTTGATATTTTGTCAACTTGAACTATGATGGGTCCCGAGTCGGATGGTTTGTTCGGTCAGATTCCATTTTGAGTTTTTGACACACCTCTGTTTAACAAAAGAAATTTGCAAAGACAAAAAAAAAAAATTTGCAACAAAAATGATGGATTGTTCATCTGGTTTGACTTTGAGATAAGATGGGACCAAAAACAAAAATTTGCGAACCAAACCATATCAAAAGAATGTTTGTTCATTTAGTTCGACTTCATCCAGACCAAATTTAGTGTTAGGCGGCTTTTTATACTTAATATAATTTGTAGGATTGAAGTCGAAGATAAATGTATTCAATCCAACTTGATTTGGCTCAAATATCAATTCGATATAATTCTCTAAACTTAAATCCAACCTAAAGGGTACACTGGTCAAAAGAATAAGTATTTGTAAGTTCAAGGCGTAGCCAGAATCTTGATAATGTGAGTCATAATTTTTTTAGAAATTGTAAGGTGGGAGAATTTATATAATCATTTTTATCATTGATGATATAACCTCATATTATAATTATTTTTGTGAAAGACAGTCACCATTCAAACTATTAAGAATATCATTATTCACTTAGACATAGGACCTCTTCGACTTATTGGGTAATTTGACCCATTGCATATCTCATATGGTTATGGATCGTATCCAATGAATTCATTAATGATGAGATAATTTATATAATCAATCTTTATCATTGATAATGTAACCTCATATTGAATTTTTTTTTTTTTTTTTTTTTTTGTGAAAGACAGATACCATTCAAATTATTAAGAATATCTCTATTCACTAGACACGGTAACTCGTTGACTCATTGGGTAGTTTAGTCCAATTTCCATGTCTCATATGGTTATTGGATCCTATCCAATGAACTCATATGCACTCTTAATAGTTTGTGTTCTAATTGAATCCGAATTGGCTCAACTCATTTGGGTCAGACGCAAATAAGTCTATTTGAGTCCAGTTGATTGTACACACAAAAACATATCAACCATCTCAATAATAATCCTAGACCAACATAAAACATTCAATGTTGATGTTTTCACATTTCTGTTTATTTCATAACAAAGGAAAAAAATAAATACAAAAACCACATTAAAATAGTGTATCCATTTTCTTTTGAATACCCAATATAGTGAATCTAATTTAGAACCAAACTAAATTAGGTATGATCCTTAAAACTAAAATTACTCAAACTTGATTTGACCCTTAATAAATTGGGTTTGGACAATACCCAAAATTTAGGTATTTTTCACCATCTCTAGATATCACTGTCAGTGTCCCCTATAAACTAATCATTTATAATTGCAATAATCATTCAATTTCAGAGCGTGTTGTTCGCATAGTTTACTGCAAAAAAATATCATTATTTTATAAAGGCAATTTATTACATTAAAAATAACAAAGGACACAATCACTCGCGGAGGGAGAGAGATAGAGGGTGGGTCCTAGCTTGGGGGCAGAAAATGGTAAATTATGTATATTATTAATTGGATATGATAAATAATACGTATTTAGATGAGAATGGTTGTCCTTTCAAATATTTTATGTATGATTTATAAGTTGTGTATTGGCATATTCAATGAATTTATAACAAGCTATGTACAAATGACAGTGGTGCATATGATATGCTCAAAATTAAAAATGTACTTATTCCAATTCTACAATAAATTTTAACCAAATCATAGCTAAATTGTAAAAATAATTTTATTTCAATCAAGGGTAGAGAGAGTGTAACAACTAACAAGTAGATCCTAAGGACGTAAATGAGTAAGTTAGTATAATAGTTAATTGAGAATGAAATTTATGGCACTTCTAATTGAGAATGGTTGGTCGAGTGATTATTTGTTGGAATTTTGGCGACTCCATTTGTTAAGCACATGGTATTCGGATTTGCGAAAACTTTAAGCATGTATAAGTTGGTTTTCATTGGCGGGATGTGTTAGTAAATACTAAATAGTATAAGATCCATTATTAAATCTTTTCCAACAACTCAAGTTATTGATACTAAATAGTCTTGACAAAGAACACCATTCAAAAGCAAATGTCTAACTAAATCATGAATAATTGTTATAGAGTAATATGCTTGATAGTTTTGATATATAGTTATCTTACCAATTTTTTGTAAATATAAAATAAAATCATAATTTTTTTAAAAAGCTAACAAAACTATTTTATTCGTATATATTGTTTTTGTAAATGTGCCCACACTTGAGAAAATCCTAGCTATGTCACTAGACACAATATATAAGAGTGTACGTTTTAGGAGAAATGATATTAGACAACTATTAGGTTTAAAAAGAAGAATTTGTGAAAAAGAGGAACAAAATTTAGAGATTATAATGTTTTTTATTTATTTATGAAGAGATTATAATGTATTATATACAATTCAATGTAATTTAATCTCACAAATTACTAGAAGACAATGAGAAACAGAATTAGTATATGTTGGGCATGTGACTCGGATCTCACCCCACGGAAGAAGCACCCAGGGATACTCACGCCAATGGCAAGCGCGCGAATCACACCGAAGTCAAGCGCGCTAGTCACACCGGAGTCAAGCACGCGAGTCACGCCGGAGTCAAGCGCGCGAGTAACCCAGGAGTCAAGCGCGCGAGTCACGCCGGAGTCAAGCGCGCAGGAAAAGACCACACCCGGAGGCCGCGCACGAACACTAAACGACGACGCTTTGGGCAGACGTGGACCCTTATCGAGAAGTTGTAGAAGCGGCGCCGCGTCACCCAACGGGTAGTCACCATCATAGTCCTAGGTATAGTCCTGCCTAAGTTAGGAGTAGTCACATCAAGGTCCTAAAAGCATGGCCTAAATCCCTGACATGTCAGTGGTCATGTCATTGTCCCACATGTAACCCAGCCACTCACCCACCACCATGTAGCCTATAAATATGGCATTTACTCCGGTGGGTGAGGGGATCGGATTTTCAGACTCTATCTCTAAGATCATCAACTTCTCTCTCTAAGATATTTCTCTCTCAATTCCCTTCGTAATCTCCCCAATTCTTCCGCCGAAAATTATTCCCTCATTGCTACTCTCCTTGACCCATTTTCCCGAGTCTTCCTCCTACACTCAGTTAGGCTCAAACAATTGGCGCCCACCGTGGGACCAAGTAGAGAAACAAAGAAAATCGACCTATGGCAGAGCATAACTCCAACTCACCTGACGAATCAACCCCCATCAAAGCGATGACCAACCCAAGGGAAGTCGCAGAAGCTAGCAATCTCAACGCGGTGCTCCTGGAAGAGGAAGAGCCCGAGCTCACAACCAAGGAAATGAGACATCTGATGGTGAAGCAGAACGACGTCATAGCTAACATGCAGAAACAAATGAGCCAGGTCATAGCGCTCATGATGAGCAAAGAGGCCGCGACAACAGCAGGCGCGACACCACCCGCGCCCCAACAACTCCCAGGAGAAGCGTCGGGAACTTTCCTACCATCACACCCCACGCACGAAGCGTAACAAGTCGAGCTCACAGTATGCGCAACACCAGTCGCGTCCCAACAAGCCCCAGGAGAAACGTCGGGGACGGTCCTACCACCGCACCCCGCATACGAAACACCACAAGCTGAGCTGCCAGGAAGGGCGGACCTCAGTTTTTTGGAGCAACACCTGTCTCCGCAATACCGACTGAACCCGCCCAAGAGGGCGCTCCACCAGCTGCTAAGCGCGGAAATCATGGCGGAGCACCTGAGTGGAATGCCACCCGCCCTCCCAACTTACAACGGGACGACCGATCCCGAAGACCACGTGAGCACCTTCTGCCAGCGGATGCAGCTCCAAACCAACTCCAACGCGGCGCTATGCCGAACCTTCCCATCAACATTTTCCGGGATATGCCTAGACTGGTATAACAGGCTCCCAAACGGGATCATCCGCTCATTTGAGGAGTTCATACTCCTATTCACGACGAAGTTTGCATCCCAAAAAAGAAGGCCCCTCCACCTCAAGGCGCTGGTAGACCTCAGGCAAAAAGACGGGGAGAGCCTACGATCATTTTACGCCAGATGGTCCAGGGTGGCGATGGCAGTGCGCGACCTCACCCCCGAAACCGCCGCCCATCACCTTATGGAAGCCACAACCAACATGGAACTCAAGCGGGCGCTAGCAAAAAGGCCCGTAACTCTATCAACGGGGTTGGAGATGAAGATTGAGAAGGAAATTACGCTGGAAGAAACCCTCGGAGCGGGATATGTTAGGCGCTTCGAGCCAGCCAAATTACCACGAGAAGAGCAGGGACGTCGGCAGCTCACGCTGCCGCGAGATCAGCTAGCGCAGCTGCACAGCGGGCAAAAGCGCCATCCCCCTCCCCCACAAGAGCAAGCCCAGCAAGGAAGATCGCCAGACAGGCGCGCGCCCCATGCTTTTACACCGCTCAACGACTCCGTGAAGAACGTGTTCCACGTTCTGCGCGAGAAGAGATACAAGCTCAATTGGCCCACGCCTCTGAAGTCCTTGCCTCACATGCAGGACCCAAAAAATCATTGCGACTTCCATAGAGCAACGGGGCACTGGACGGAAGATTGCCGAGAACTGCGCTACTAAATAGAAGGCCTCATACGACGAGGATTGCTGACCGAGTTCACACACGAGAAAGAGGAACAAGTTGGGGGGCCCCAAAACCCGCCACCACCCCCACAAGCCGACTACAACGAAGCCGCTGCAGCATATGTAGTGCGAAAGGAGATAGGGGTGGTGACGGTGGAAGGAGATCGCCCGAAAAAGAAAACCAAGCGCGAATGAGCGATCGAATTCGCAGCAGCGGATGTACAAACAGGGGGTCAACTAAGCTTTGACGACATCGAATTACCGCAAGGAATTCCGTCTGAAGACCCGCTCATCATCACCGCCCTAGTGGCCTCCTGCAAAATTCACCGCCTACTGATAGACGGAGGTGCCGCGGCAGACATCCTCTTCCAAAGCACCATGGACAAAATGGACATCGACCCGCGCTTAATCAAACGCGCCCAAGGGAACCTGGTCGGCTTCTCTGGAGCGAGGGTTCCAGTAATTGGGGTGGTGACTCTCCCCGTTGTTATCGGCGACCAAGAGCCGCGCGTCTCAAAGCAAGTCGAGTTCAC